GCAATGGCGCGATCTCGGCTCACCGCAACCTCCGCCTCCCGGGTTCAGGCAATTCTCCTGCCTCAGCCTCCTGAGTAGCTGGGACTACAGGCACGCGCCACCATGCCCTGCTAATTTTTTGTATTTTTAGTAGAGACGGGGTTTCACCATGTTGACCAGGTTGGTCTCGATCTCTTAATCTCGTGATCCACCCGCCTCGGCCTCCCACAGTGCTGGGATTACAGGCTTGAGCCACCGCGCCCGGCCCACCTCCTCTTCTTATAAAGACACCAGTGATTGGGTTTCGGGTCCACCCTAAATCCAAGAGAATTTCACCCAGAGATCCTTCGCTGATTTTAACTAAAAGACCCTATTTCCAAAAAAAAGTCACATTCTAAGGTTCTAAGTAGACAGGAATTTGGCGGGGCGGGGTGGAGGCACACTATTCGAATCTGGTTTTTTAATTGTTTAAGGTATCACAGATAGCCACATGGCAAAAAATATTGACACAAAAAGTATGAAGGGGCACAGAGAAAAGCAAGCTTCCTCCACCGATTCCTGACCCTTACAGTTGTCACTGATCACTGTCATTAGATTTTTTTCTTTTTTCTGTGGAAGGGGACAAGGTCTCACCATGTTACCCAACTTTTTTTGTATTTTTAGTAGAGACAGGGTTTCACCATGTTGGCCAGGCTGGTCTCCAACTTCTGAGCTCAAGTGATCCTCCTGCCTCAGCCTCCCGAGTAGCTGGGATTACAGATGCAAACCGCCGCGTTTGGCTACTTTCCTCCCACCTCAGCCTCTCAAAGTGCTGGGATTAAAGGCATAAACTAGATGGGCATGGTGGCTCACGCCTGTAATCCTAACACTTTGGGAGGCCGAGGTGGGCAGATCACTTGAGGTCAGGAGTTCGAAACCAGCCTGGCCAGCATGGTGAAACCCCTTCCCTACTAAAAATACAAAAAAAATAGCCATGTGTGGTGGCAGGTGCCTGTAATCCCAGCTACCAGGGAGGCTGAGGCAGGAGAATTGCTTGAACTCGGGAGCAGAGGTTACAGTGAGCTGAGATGGTACCACTGCACTCCAACCTGGGCAATAGAGCAAGACTCTGTCTCAATAAAAAAAAATAAAATAAAAGTCATAAAGCCCCGCACCTGGCCTAGATGCTTGCCTATACAGTCATGTATATCTTTGATGGGTACAAATGGACCCAGCCTTTTAATTTGCCAATGCATATGGGAGACCCTTCCATGTCTGTTCATGTGGATTTGCCTCCTTTGATTTAAAGGCTGCATAAGATAGCAGTGTTTGGTAAACCATAGTTTATTTAACCAGTCCACTTTAAGTGGAAATCTAGGTGGTTTTCAGTTATTTTTTTTTTCTATTAATAATGTTGCAGTACTGATTTTTTGTATTTGCCTGCCACTTTTTTTTTTTTTTTTTTTGAGACAGAGTCTCGCTCTGTCACCCAGGCTGGAGTGCAGTGTCGCAATCTCGGCTCACTGCAGTCTCTGCCTCCTGGGTACGCGCAATTCTCCTGCCTCAGCCTCCCGAGTAGCTGGGATTACAAGCTCGCACCGCCACATCTAGCTAATTTCTTTGTATTTTTAGTAGAGATGGGGTTTCACCATGTTGGCCAGGATGGTCTTGATCTCCTGACCTCGTGATCCACCTGCCTTGGCCTCCCAAAGTACTGGGATTACAGGCGTGAGCCACCGTGCCTAGGCTGCCTGCCACTTGTTTAAAAAGTTTCTATTTTAAAATAAGTATAGATTTACCTGCAGTTATAATAAATAATACAGAGAGATCCCATAGACCTATTATTGAGTTTTCCCCAAGTTTAGTTTCCTGCAATATTCTCACATGTGGATGTGTGTGACTATCATCAACCAAGATACAGAACAGTTCCGTCACACGGGGCCCTCTTTCAGCCACAGCCACTTCCCTTGCCTGTATGATTTTGCCCAACCTTTTAGTTCCACCTTTTTCTGAGTCACTGTTTCAGATGTATCTCAAAGCAACACCCAATGTACTTGGGGTTTGCTTTCTGAGCCAATATGAGTGTCCTTTCCTTGTAAGACCGTAGTTTTACCCTATCAATAATTATGAAAAATGCAGAAACTAGTTGGTCCTGAACATTTATTGAGCTAGGCATTTTACTAGCTATTTTACTTATCTGTAGGTTATTTCTCATTATCTCAAACTATTTCTCTTATCTGAGAAGGGAAACGTACAATGGTGTCTTAAACGCCTTGAGATCCCGGGTCAGGTAAGTGACAGAAAGGGGCTTTGGATCGACCTTCCCTTACTATCTCCATACTCATGAGAAGGCCTGTTTTCTCCCCTAGAAAGGTGGTACAGCGTCTCTTCCCAGCCAGAACACCTGCCATTCTGAATATGAGGAGGATCAGAGACATGCTTTTGAATACCACAGAAGCAGAGACATCTCCAGACCAAGGTATGTTTTCTTCCATTCCAGCCATTGTCACTGGCAGTTAAGCAGAATCTTTGTAAGATAAAGATGGAAAGCAAGATTCAGAATGTTGAAAAATACAAGGAGACACGAAGACTGTCAATCACATTCAAATGTTTCACCCTGGATTCCCAAATGCCATTCTCTGTTAGTTCTCTGGGTGCGTCACCAGCTGCTCGTGTGTTCTGCCTCTTGTTCTTCCTCCTCTCTTCACTCAGCTCCCGCTGTCAGAGTGCTCGGGGCCCAGTCCTTGGGCTGCCCTCTGTCTCTGCTATCATTACTCTTTCCCTGGGTTTCTCATCCAAGTCATGACTTCTACTACTTTCTGCACCAACAGCTCCCAAGTTTGACCGTCAGCCAGAAGAAGACTCAACATCCTATCACTGGGCAGGCAAGGGATGCCTAACAGGTTTCTCAAACTTAACCCACTCCCTGCTGAACTAAACCTTCAACCCTTTCCACCGCAGTAAATGGGATCTTCATTGTAACAGTTGTTTAAGGCCCCAAACATGATGTCATCCTTGAATCTACTCCCTCGCCTCTCACATGTGCCGGTAAAACTTGTGGATTCTTGCAACTCTAGCTGCTGTCATCACCCCTACCAACCTGGTCCAAGTGTCATCACCTCTTGCTCCAGTTACTGCAATAGCGTCCCAACTGGTCTCCCTGCTTCCTCTCTTGAGAGTCGTGAAATAATAAAAATAATAAATAATACAAATTACATATATATTTAAAACTATATATACATAAACTGGTCCCTGGCCCCAGTTCCTGACACAGAGCTCCTAAAATCCTTGTAGATGGAGGGACTGGGGGACTCTTTTATTCTATCTTATTCTGTTTTGTGCTGTTATAACAGAATAGCACAAACTGGGGAATTTATAAATAAAAGATATTTATTTCACACAGTTCTGGAGGCTGGAAAGTTCGATATCAGGGTGCCGGCATCTGGCAAGGGCCTTCTTGCTGCGTCATCCCATGGCAGAAGGCAGAAGGGCAGGAAAGTGTGTGTGAGAGAGGCGAAGAGAAGAGACTGAACTCTACTATTCCTCTCAACACTCACACCAATTTACGTCTTCTGGCCACCAAAACGTGCGAGGCTTTTCCCCCACACCAACCAGTTCTCTGCTTCTTGATGAGAACAAACTTGGCGTCCTACAGTTTAACTCAATTCTGACATGATCTCCTTGGAGATACCATTTAGATCCCACAGGTTAAGGGCTCAGTCCCATAAGACTGCCTCTACTTCATTTTTTTTTTTTTTAAAGACGGGGTTTCACCATGTTGGTCAGGCTGGTCTTGAACTCCCGACCTCAGGTGATCTGCCTGCCTTGGCCTCCAAAGTGCTTGGATTACAGGCATGAGCCACCATGCCCGGCCGACTGCCTCTACTTCAGACACCAATTGTAAGTGGTGGGTCCCCAGGTTACCGACAACTCTTGTTCAACTTGGTGATAAATGGAAGATTCCCACGAACCCCTTCTCAGTTTCAACAATTTACTAGAACAGCTTGCAAAACTCAGGGAAACATTTATTTGCAATGACCAGTGTATTATAAACGATACAACCCAAGAATGGCCAGATGGAATTGATCCACAGGACAAGATATGAGGGAAGGGGCATGGAGCTTCCATGTCCTCTCTGGGCACACCACCCTCCAGGTACCTCCATGTGTTCATCAACCCAGAAGCTCTCTGAACGCTGTTCTTTTGGGTTTCTATGGAGGCTTCATTACGCAGGCATGATTGATTAAAGTAACTATGGGCCGTTGATGGTTAACTCGATCTCCAGTCTCTCTCCTCTCCTGGAACTCAAGGGGTAGAGCTGAAGGTTCCAACCCTCAAATCACATGGTTGGTTCCCCAGACAACCAGTCCCCCCATATTTGGAGGCTTTCTGAAGTCATCTCATTAACACAAGCTTGGGTGTGGCTAAAATGGTTAACAACAGATGCTCTTTTCCCTTTTATTGCTCTCATCACTCAGGAAATTCCAAGGTTTTTAGGAGCCCTGTGCCAGAAATGGGGATGAGAACCCCCCCCACACACACACACGCACGCGCACACACACACACGCATGCGCACGCACACACACACACACATATATAATTATACTTGTAAATCACAGTATCACATATATTATGTTCTTGGGAATATAATTTGTACAAAGGGGCCTTGTAAATTACTGTTCTGTATGGTGAAAATGATCATTTAATCATTGTAGTCCATGTGTTCATAACTGCTGAGAGAAAACAGAACACGCTACCCCCAGATATGCCCTTTTGGCATGGGGATTCTTGAGGTGAAGGCAATTAAGAAGAAACAGATGCAGGAAGGCTCTCTGTCCTCTCTCTATTTGCCTAAAGGCAGGATCTAAATTTACAAAGGTCTTTCTGTTTAGGAGAATAAAGGTTAACCACTGAGAACAACTTTAGACACTTATGGGCCAGAGGACGCTGCACAACAAACTTTACTGACTAGTCTCTTTTTCTTTTATTATTATACTTTAAGTTCTGGGGTACACGTGCAGATCAGTGTGGAAGACAGTGTGGCGATTCCTCAAGGATCTAGAAATAGAAATACTGGCCGGGCGCGGTGGCTCACGCCTGTAATCCCAGCACTTTGGGAGGCCGAGGCGGGTGGATCACGAGGTCAAGAGATCGAGACCATCCTGGTCAACATGGTGAAACCCCGTCTCTAC